TCAAGGGGCCTGTCTCCAGGAGGCCTCAGACTCCTTTTGCTGAGGCCTACCAGGATTCCAGTGTGTCACTGCCCTCCCTGGCCTAACCCTCCCTTCTTCCAGGAAGCCTCCCAGACTGGGAGCTTGGAAGCACTAGCCCTACCTCCCAGAACCTGAGCCCCTCCCCTAGCCTTGGAGTTCTGTCCTGCTGGAGGAAGCATGTAGGAAGCAGTTACCCTCTTCTCACCACAAAATTACAGGCTCCCAGAGACACTCTTCCCTAACCCCAAAAGGCAAAGGCTCTGACCTCCATTCCCTTCACCTCGTGGTCCTTAGTCTTTGAAAACCACCTCTGGGCACAAATTCTTATTTTTTCAGTGTAGGACGTAGAGGCTCGGTATTAAACATGTTTTCAAAATAAGTCAACATTCCAGCTGCCTCTTGGGAAACACAGACTTTTCTTCCCCAGCTGTCCATTTTGCTCTATTGCTTTTACATGGTTGTTTGTAACGTTTGTATTTTGTTCCGATCCTGTACTTTGGAAAGTTCTTTTAATTCTGTGTTTACATAGAATCCACTTTGTTTTCTCCTTTGCTGGTTGTATTGGTTATATGGCTTTGTCAGATAAAATCACTTGAGGAAGAGTTGGGGGAATTTTCTGTGGTGGTGGGGTGACCCCAGAGAACCAGGAATGGAGAAGAAGAGGTGGGGCAGGAGAAGGTCAGTGCCTGATCCCGTCTTGGCTTCACAGTTTGGGCTGGGGCAAGTCAGAGAGCATGGATTCCCTTGTCTTGAACCCAGGGCAGTGTCACCACTGGTGCCCTCTCTCCTGTACTTTGATGTGGCACCCATTGCATCCTCCTACTTTTCTTGGGAAGCCATGGGTGCTCTTAGGTCAAATACCAGCCTGGGCCTTATAGGAAGACTTGCTCTCAAAATAAAGGTTGAGAGGGAGGGGAGTAGAGTGACTTTCCAATTCTTTTGTGTGGGTGTGTGTGGAGCTGGGGTCTGAACTCAGGGCCTCTTGCATACTAGGCAATCAGTCCATCACTGTACTAAACCCCCAGCCCTGTGAAACAGTTTTTATCGGTATTTCTTTCTTAGGGACAGTATGGAGCACCAGGCTGGAGTAGCACTTTTGCTGGCCGTGGGAGGTGGCAGGCGTGTGGTGTGTGTGTGTGTCAGGTGCACACCTGGGGGCTGAGAGGGCAGGTGATCTCCCTGGAGAATGGCCAGTGCTGGTGAGAAGGAGGAACCAGAAGCTCATGTAGTAGGTTTGGCAAAGTCAATTTTTTGTTTACTTGTGTTTTTATTTTAAAACATTTTGAGCACATATAGGTTGCAAGACCAGCAAAGTGAATATGTGTAGCCCTTACCTGGATTCCCCTCCCCCTACACACACTCCCTTTCTGCCAAACCATGTAAATGCAGGCTGCAGACATTGAGTGGCTTTATTCTGAATCCTTCAGTCTGTACCTCTGACCATGACCTTTCCCAGAGCAGTTACGTTTGGGTCAATGCTCCTAAAAGAATTTACTCAGTGACATTGGCCAGTACCCAATCCTTACCCAACATCCCTCAGGGGAACAAAAACAGCCCCCACACTCCCCAGGCAGGTGCAGGTCAGGATCCCACCTTGCCTCTTTCTTTCTTTTTTTGTGGTACTGGGATTCAAACCCAGAGTCTATACCTCAAGCCACTCCACCAGTCCTGTTTTGTGTTGGTTCTTTTTTGAGATAGGGGCTCACAAACTATTTTGCCCAGGCTGACTTTGAACCAGGATTCTCCTGATCTCTGCTTCCTGAGTAGCTAGGATTACAGGTATGAGCCACCGGCTCCTGGCTCTCTCACCCTTCCTTCCTTCCTTCTTTCCTTACTTTCCTGCCTTTCTTCCTGCCTCCCTCCCTCCTTCTCCTTCCTTCCTTTTCTTTCTTTTTTTGTTTTGACAGGGTCTCACTATGTAGCCCAGGCTAGCCTGGAACTCTGAATATTTCTGCCTCCATCTCCTGAGTGCCGGGATTACAGGCGTGAAACACCACATCTGGCAAGCAATATTTTAATAGCCTTGTATTTTTCTAGGTCACAGTTCTGGATGAGGGGCAGATTGCTGCTCACGGGAGGGAGGAAGCAGTAACTTACATTCTATCTACAGCCTGCGATGCCAGTACTATCGCTAAGAAGAAAATAATAAAGCACCCCCACGTCACCCTTGTGTGCGCAGTCTCTGCGCGTTTTCCTCCTGGATATTACGCATTTTCAGGTTAGCTCGGAAGGCTTCTCCTTCAACCCTTGGGTGCCCACTGCGGAACCCTGGCTGGTTGATGCTCCTGGTGGCCGGGAGGGGGCGCGCGTACTCAGCGGCTGCCCGAGCACCAGCCCAGTGCCCGAGGTGTGAGCGCCACCACGAGTGTGGTCCTGGAACTGCACTCAGTCCTGCCCTGCGGGTCGCCCACGCCCACCCAGGCTCTGTAAGGACTGGTCCCAGACTCTCTCATGCCTCCAGGGGTGGGAGGTGGCGACGGGGGGGGGGGGGGGGGGCTGGCTCTTCAGTACTGGCGCTGCAGATGACCGGCTATGGGGAGAGAGTGAGACCCATATTCCTCGCTGCGCACCAGATAAACTCCAGCCGGAGTTGCAGCCCTCCTTCTGCTTTATTGTCGCCAAAGCACATAGCAGCTTCTAAGATCCTATGCACCTTACGGTTTACCATGTCTGTAGCTTCTTGGTTCCTCCCGCCCCGCACTGCCCCTCGCATCCCATAACATAGCTCACCAGGTTAAGAGACCTTTGTTCGTTTTGGTCGCTGAGCTTCTCAGTGTGGCGAACAGGTAGAGAGGGAGCAGGCGTGGGGCAGGAGTGCGGAGGGGTGCTGGACGCCAGGACAAGTGGGGGGCAGACGTTCGGGGTCCCCGAGCGCGCCGAGGGCTTGGCGGTTCAGCGGGTGTGTAGATTGGAGAAGATGCGCAGGATGCAGCAAAGAAGGCAGGGATGCGGAGGATGCGGAGTGCGGGAGAGCCCGAGAAGTGCGGGACCCCAGGGCAGGAAGGCCCGGGTACCCGGGCCTGGGCCGGTCCGCAGCGAGCACGTCCCGCAGCAGGACCAAGGGCGCCGTGGAGCGCGTGCAGCAAGAATGCGGGCGGGGGGAGCTACAGCTGGGCGAGGAGAGCAGAAGGAGTCGGGGCGCCCGGGCGAGCAGCGGGTGCTTCAGCTTGCAGCTGCCAAGTGTCCCAGGGAAGCAACCCGATCGTTCAATCCCCAGGGACTAGATGAAGGTGACAAATGTCCAGTGTCTATGCACAGTGGGCCAGGGCTGGACCAATTGGAAAGAAAGACGCTTTCTGTTCCTGAAAGGCTAAGAGGTCAAGTGAAGATTTTTGCTTGTCTGTCTAAATTTCACACCCATTGAAAACATCCAAGAATCGCACAAGGCATTCCCGTGTACTCTCCACTCAGATTCCTCAAGTGGTGGGAATGAAGCCAGTCACAAGCAGCAATATTTATAATAGTGAAATTCAGAAAATAAGTGTCTAATAGAAAAATAACTAAATTAGGTAGCCAATCATATATAAAATAAGTTTATAATATGGAAGGATGGACTCCAAGTGGGTCAAAGACCCGAATGTAATAACTAAACCACAAAACTCTTAGAAGAAAACTTAGGGGTAAATCTTTATGAATTGTGACTAGGCAGTGATTTGTTAGGCAATGATTTCTTAGCTATGGCATCAAAAGCACAAGCAATAATAGAAACACACACACACACCCTGAGCTGATGTAGTGATGTACCCCTGTGACCTCAGCAGAGGCAAGAGGACCAGGTTCCAGGCCACTGTGGACTACATGGTGATTTTAAGGCCAGCCTGAGCTATATACTGAGACGTTTGATGATTTTTGTCCCAATCAGTTTTTACTATGATGGGTGCCAAATAGTGGTTTTCTGCATTATTCTTCCCGCATTTTTTTTGGCGGTACTGGAATTGGAACTCAGGGCTTCACACCTGCTAGGCAGGCACCCTACTACTTGAGTCACCCAGCTAGCCCTGTTCTGTGTTGGGTTTTTTCGAGATAGGGTCTCACGAACTATTTGTGAGGGCTGTCCTCAAACCTCTATCCTCCTGATCACTTCCTCTTGAGTAGCTAGGATTACAGGCATGAGCCACTGACACCTGGGCCTTTCTGCATTTTTTAGTTGGCCTTTAGATGCAAAAAAAATTTTAGTTCTCCCTCATTTACTTATTTACCTCGACATTGACTCCGGATCCGGGTTTTTTTTGTTGTTGTTGTTGACAGTACTAGTGTTTGAACTCAGGGCTTTGTGCTTACAAAGCAGGCGCTCTAACCCTTAAACCACACCTCTGGTCCATTTTTTGATCTGGTCGTTTTGGGGATGGAATCTCGTGAACTATTTGACCCAAGTTGGCCTCAGACTTTGATCCTCCAGATCTCAGCCTCCCAAGAAGGTAGGATTACAGGCGTGGGCCACCGGCACGGGGGTTGTTATTTTATTTAAGGTTACTATCCATTACTATCATTATTTATTTTGAATTTCAAATCGTGCCAGCTTTGGAGTGAGGTCATTTGAAGACTTCAATGAGGTGTATAAGAAATTTCCTTCCACCGACTCAGGAAGGTGACAGGCCTAAGGACACATTTAAACCAATACTCCCACTCCGCAAACGCAAAGTCAAATTCTGGGGTAGGTCCTGGATGTCAATTAAGCCCACTTGCTCCGCCCCCTTGTGCCAAGAACTCCCGCCCACGATCCCCCAGTCCAGCCACAAATTGGGTCACTGTCCCCGCCCCCTGCCGCCGCTGCCCAATCCCGGCTTGGCTCCGCCTCTTTCGTGACTAATGGACCGCCCCCGCACTCAGATTGGCCGAGCAGTCAGCTCGGCGCCGCGCAGGGAAGACCCGGAGAAGAGGCGTTCCTCAAAGGAATGGCTCCGCAGCCCAGCTGCGCATGCTCGCTACGAGCCGTGGGGGCGTTCCGAGAGGCCGGCCCCATCGCGGGTTCGCGCACGCGGGTACGCGGGCACGCGGGCACGGGGCTCGCTCCTGAAGGGGCAGTTGGAGGAGGGGAGCTGGCGCCGGGGTCGTGGTGGCCCGAGCGGCCTCGGCCTCCAGGTCTACGCCTGCGGGACCCGCCGCGGCTCCGTCACCGGAGAGCGAGGGCCCGCTGCCGTCGGTGAGGACGGGCCCCAGCGGGCGGGGAGGGTCCCGTCTCGCGGATGGACGCCCCGGCCCGGCACCCCAGAATCTCGTGTGCTGGTGCTGGGGAGGGGCAGCCTCGGGCTCTGCGTCCCGGGTTCCTTCCTGCCGCCTCTTTGTCGGCTACCCTGTGATTCACCTCCTTTCTCCTCATCCTGGTTCCTCCAGCTCACCAGGTCCCTGGACCGAGCCTGACACCCCCAAGTCCGGGAACCCCTCATCCGCCTGCCTCCCCTCACCCGGGCGGTAGCCCTCTCGCCCGGTGCGCGCCCGTCCTGCACCGTCCCCAGTCTCCTGCCATCTTTGCGTCCCGAGGTTCCAGTGACCTTGCACTTTTTGCCTGTTGTTATCCGCTCCTGCCAGTCCTGACGCTGTGGATCGATTGCCGGTTATGGCTTTCAAACTTTTTGACTGAGAGATGCTTTGCGTGAATACCGTGTCTGCAGGTACTGACTGAGCCACGTTTAGAGGGAGACGCTTACTCAGCTCGCATGACGCAGATCTATTGGAGCTCAATTTTAATTCATCCCATTCCATTCCAAAAGACTTGCTAACACGTTCATTCCGGACCTAGTGGATGTTTTACTGCTTGCATTTTTTTTGGAGGATGTTGAACTCCCACAATCAGATAATATATACCGGTATATCTTAATTTTTACATTTCTGCTTTCCACTCTGGGTTTGATTTACATTTTCTGGTGTGATTGAATCGGCTTTATCTTGTTCCTCTTCCAGATGTGGTAGAGATCCGTGTGAGAGGGAGTGAGGTTGGGGTAGGCTGCGGAGCGTTTGTAATGCCCAGCTGCGCAGATAGAGGTGATTTTTACTGGGAGAGGCGTGACAAGCCTTCAGCCTTAAGAAGAGTAACCTGTGGGGCGCCCTTGGGGAGAATTGGAATGCAACATGCTAAAGATTTAGAGCATTTCGGGGGTTTAGCGTGGGCTGAGAAGGAGGCTGTGAGGAAGTCTCCAGTGACAGGAAAGCAGATGGAAGATAGGTGTGATCAGGTACACAGGGAGTGAGATTTAAGGACACAGTAGGTGAGATAAAGGAGTAAAAGTAACCAAGGTTCTGATGAAGGATGTTTGGAGTATGTATTTGTCAACTTACTGTAACTACAGCAAAATAACTGAGGTAACAAACTTATGAAGATAAAAAGGTTATTTTGGCTCATGGTTTTAAGAGATTGCAGTCCAAGACCAGGCAGACCCATTGCTCTGGGCTTCTGGTAAGGGTGCTGGATACCAATGGTGAGGTGTCTGAGATGGAGCAAACTGCCCACCTCATGGCCAGGAAGCACAAGAGAGAGGGGGAGGAGCAGGGGCCCCACTGTTCTCTTCAAGGACATGCCCCAGTGACCAACAGGCCTTCCAATATGCCTACATCCTAAAGGTTTCACACCTCCCAATAGGCCCTTTAATGTGTGGGTCTTTGAGGGATATATTCAATTCAAAATATAGCAGGAGATATAGGCTTTAGGGTTCCCATTAGCTGGAATCTCCCTTTTGGTATTCTCTAAGTTGCTTTGAGATAGTGGCTCTCAGGCAGTTTTGCCCCCCAGGGACCTTCAGCAATATTGGTTGTCACAACCTGGGGAGGGGATGATACTGGCATCTATCTAGCAGGAAGAGGCCAAGAAAGCAGCTAAACATCCTACCATGAGCAGGACAGCCCCTCACAACAAAGTAGTTCCTCATGCAGAATGTCACAGGTGCTGAGGTTCTGAAACCTGCTCTAGAGAGGTAAATTATAGTCTTTGGGTGATCGCCACTACCTTCAAATTCTCCCGGGAGTAATGCTGTGTACAGACAGGGTCTGTGCAGGTAAGTGGGTAAATAAATCCTGCAAAACCTGCCTGCTCACGGGGTGGGGGGTGGGGTGGAGGTGAGATCATACAGGAGTTTGTTTTTTTTTTTTTAAAGACAAGGGCTTGTTGTGTTGCACAGGCTGCTCTTGAACTATGGATTCCCGTAACCCTGTGTCAGCCTCCTAAGTAGCTGGGATTTTAAGAGTATGCTGCTGTACCGTGCTCAGCGTTTTTTCAAAGCAGGGCCTTCCCTTCTCCTTCCATTGTTCAGGACCCTACTGAGCCTGGGCAAAGAACTCCATGTTTTATGTAATGATTTACTGTTTACAGAAGAATTTCACTTACAGTAACTCATTCTTCACTTTTCCTACTTTATAGGCAAAAGCAGCCAGAGAAGTTAAAGAACTCGGCTCAGGTCTCCCAGAAGCCAGTGCCCAGCCTGGGTGCTGAGGGATGGCGATGTAGTTCTCCTGTGTGAAGGTAACTGTTGCTCTTCATCAGCTGCCAGGAGAGGCTCTTGGCATTCAGGACCTTACAGTTAGACTTTGGACCCAGTGGTATCTGAGAGGCACTGGGTAGGTCTTAATATTATGCAGCTCTTGGGCCTAGGTCAAGTCCCTGTGACCACCAGGAGGACGCGTCAAAGCAGGTAGTGGGAGTATTTGCGCTCACACTGCTCTGTGTTCTCAACTTTGGAGCAGGGGAGGGAGGATGGGGGGATCAGCCACAAACTGTGAGGCTCTTGAACAACCCATTTACATCTGCCTGGCCTGAAAATATCTCATTAACTTCACAAGTCTGTGTTGAATGATAACTGAATATTAGAAAATGAACACAATAGGGCCCAAAACAATGGGCAAGGAAAGCAATGCATTTAGATCAACCTGGAGTAAATATGCCTATGTGTGACAAATAAAAGTCTCATAAAATAATGCTTTTATTACAGCAGTGCAAATTAATACTTTCTATGTCATTTTCAAAATTGCTGACTAAGCTGGGCACTCACGCCTGTAATCCTAGCTACTTGGAAAGCTAAGATTTGGAGGTTCACTGTTTGAGGCCAGCCCAGGCAAAAAAGATCATGAGACCCCCATCTCAACGGAAAAAAAGCTGGGCGTGGTGGCACGTGCCTATCATCCCAGCTATTGTGGGAAGCATAAAATAGGAGGATCACAGTCCAGGTCGGCCTGGGCAAAAAGCCAGACCCTTATCTCCAAAATAACCAAAGCAAAAGAGGATGGGAGGTATGGCTCAAGTGGTAGAGGCCCACCTAGCAAGTGCAAATCTCTGAGTACAAATCCCAGTACTTACAAAACAAAACAAAACAAACAAACAACAAAAGATATGCCAAATAGACCCTAATAATTTTAGGCTCAAAGACCAGAATCATATGAAAAACAGTGCCTTCCTTACCAAAACAAAGGACATAAAATTCTTTCATACCAATATACAATGAACACATGTTGAAGATTTCATTAATTTATTGTTAGAGAACCAGTAAGATGTTATAACAACTTTGCAAGGAAATCCAAAGGTTGAAAAAGACTGCTAGGCGTGGTGACTCACTCCGGTAATCCTAGCTACTCAGGAAGCAGAGATCAGGAAGCAGGGAAGGATCAAAATTTGATGCCAGTCTAGGTAAAAAGTTCTCAAGACCCCATCTCAAGCAATAAAAAAATGCAGGGCATGATGGTGCATACCTGTCATCCCAACTATGCAGGAAGCATAAATAGAAGGGTCATGATCCAGACCCACCTTGGCATAAATGTGAGACCCTATTTGAAAAATAAAGCAAAAAAGGCCAGAGGTAAGGCTCAAGTGGTAGAGCACAATGCCCTGAGTTCAAACCCCAGTACTGAAAAAAAAATTTATATATATGTATGTAGAAGACTATAGATGAATAATATTTGAAATGAATGTGCACATGGGTGCAAAACTGGCTTATTTCATGGTGGAAGAATTTATTTACATGTCTATTTACATGGAGAGAGAATATATTTACTTGTGTATACTCTAGTTTACAGACTCAGAGAACTTAGAAGAATGTGTTGTAAACAATACACAGTTTTCCACTTAAGCACAAATTTTCCATTCAGTCCCATAATCAGATATTTCTGATCATGAATAAGACTAGTCTCATTAGAGCTGGCCTGATTGTTTCTGTAGGTCCGGCAACATTAGTTTAACATGTGGGCCTACTTGAGTTTGCTTTGCTTGTAGTCTTCATAAGCAATTTTAGAGTGGATTTTTTTTTTTTAGGGGTTGGTGGTGCTGGGGCTTGAACTCAGGGCCTCACAATTGCTAGGCAGGTGCCCTACTACTTGATCCATGCTCCCAGCCCCTTTTGCTTTAAGTTGTTTTTCAGGGTGTCTGGTGCTTTTTGTTAGGGCCTGCGTTGGACTGCGACGCTCCTACTTTGCTTCTCACATAGCAGGATTACAGATATGAAAAACCACATCCAGCTTGGATGTTGAGATTTTTCTTGAAAACTTTTTGCCAGACTGGCCTTGGACCTCAGTCCTCCCAATCTTTTGCCTCTCTAGTACCTGGGATTAAGACATGAGCCACTGGACTTTTTAAAGTCTGATATCAATTTCAGGAAACTCTCTCCACTAGATTTAATAGGTAGGACCTATAACTTAGGGCAGATTTCTTTCTTCTTGTGGTCGCCACAGTACACTAGGGTTCCTGAAACTTGTTAAATTGTTAAAGGATAATTTCAAAAAAGGCAAAACCACAAGTCTCCCACTGGTATAAGGAGACATTAATGATTTTATTTAGCACAGAGTAAGTCTGTACTCTGTTACAAAGCAGGCGAGATCATATAATGTGAATCCCTTCATTTCAATGGCGTTCAGTAGTCACTGCCCACCCATTTCTCAAGGACATCCATTTTCAGTGTCAGAGAAGAGTCCAGAGTCTTCTGAATCAGAACCTCATGTGGTATTTGTTTAAAAAAAAAAAATCTAGATTTGTTTTTGGTTTTGTGTTTTTGAGGGTCTTGTTATATAGTGCAAACTAGACTCGAACTTGCTACATAGCCCATGCTAGCAAGAACTTGTGATCCTCCTGCCTCAGCCTCCTGAGTGCTGGAATTACAGGCATGAGCTACCATAGCTGGCTAAAATCTACATTCTTGAATCTTGAATCCCTTTCTGTACCATCAACCAGAATTTTGACTGTGAAATACAGAAATCAGCTTTGTTTGTTTGTTTATTTTTGTAGATTGAACTCAGGGGTAGCACATGCTAAGCCCACACTCTGCCACTGAGCTACACCCCAGCCTGAAATTTTGATCAAGTGCCCTGTGGAATTTTCATGTAGACCAGAAATGAACTAACTAATAATTGAAATAAAGATTTCATGAAAACCATATCTAACTTCACTATATGGATGTCCAGTTTATCTTTTTTTTTTTTAATGGAATACTGGGGTTTGAACTCAGGGTCTTGCACTTGCTAGGCAGGCGCTCTGCCACTTGAGCCACACCCTCAGTCCTCCTTTTCTTCTCAATGCCGGTCTTACGCATGGTTTCTCAGCCTTGGTGCTATTCACATCTTAGAACAACTCCTCCCTTGTGAGGTGGGGAGGCTGCCTGTGCACTGCAGTATTGGCCTGCAGCCTCAGCCTCCATGGACTAGATGCTTGTAGCGTGCCCTGCCCCCCCACCCCCGCCCCCAGTTGTGACAACCAAAAGGGTCTCCAGACCTTGACAAATGTCACATGGGAGGCAAAAACCACCCCAGTGGGCAGCATGGGCTGTGGATTGTAACTCAACTCATTCTCAGAACTCAGACCCAAAGGAGGTTTGAATGGTGACTGTCCTTATTGGCCTGGGGAGGCCCTAGGTTTCTCCTCTTAATATGAAAAAACGACAGAATCTAACTGATGAGGTTATCTGGAAAATCAAGTGAAATCATGCATGGCAAGTGCTTAGTATAGTGCCTAGCCCATTGTTGGGCTGGCTGCTGAAGTCAGCCAGATGCGGTGGCACACACCTGTAAACCCAAGCAGGAGGAGAGTTCAAGGCCAGCCTAGGCAACATAGCAAGATCTTGTCTCAAAAAAAAAAAAAAAAAGGGCTGATGGAGTGGCTCAAGCAAGTGTGAGGCCCTGAGTTCAAACCTCAGTCCCACCCAAAAAAGGAAAGAAAAGTGCTGAAGTAACAGCCCTTTAGCTTCTGGGAGATACTGGTCACAGTCCAACTGGGAAGAAGACAATTTTGTAAGATTTCAACTGGGAATTTAGTGGCTCTCCCGGGAGACAGAGGGGCTAAGAAGCAAAACAGGAAACCTGAGGTAACCCACAAGTTACCAAGTTAGTCATGGCTAGAAGCTACCACCACAGCCACGCTGAGGGTCAAGGGCAGCAGGCAGGTGACCCTGCCAAGCTGGAGTTGTCTAGGCAGTGGCTGGATGGAGTAGACAGTAGGTGGCATTGGTGGAGGCACTGCCCAAGGCAGAAGCTGTGAGGATGCCAGCTCCACTTTGACCAAATTCAACACGAAGCTGCTGTGCTGCAGAACTGTGATGCATCATAAACAAGCTTGTGTAGGCAAACTTGGACAAATGACTCCAGCTCTGAGGAGCAGTTTTTTCATAGTGCATTGGCTGCTCCTGACAGGGAAGGGTGCATTGGCTCTGGGCCAGCCAGCCCTGGGTTCAAGTCCCGATCTCCCTAGCTGTGGGGTCCTAGACTACTTATGTAAGTGTGTAAGAACACCACGTCACTAGAGGCAGAATGGGATGATGGTGACACTTAGAAGGGAGAGTGATGGGTTACAGAAATGGAGGCCAGGGCTGATATCACAGGCTCTTGTTCCTGATAGGTCCCGGGTCAAGGGCCAATGCAGTGAATTTGGACAGCAGGGCCAATGCATGTTCTCCCTCTCCGTCTCTCTCACCATTCCGTACAACAGGTCTCTGGGTTTTTTTCCTTTTCTTTGTCATCTTTTGTTTCTTCTGTAAGTTTAAATCTTGGACTTTCAGAAGCCTTTTTAGTTTGCATTAATTTTATCTTTTTTTTTTTTTTGTGCTACTGGGGCTTGAACTCAGGGCCTTCACCTTGAGCCCCTCCACCAGCCCTATTTTTTATTTTTTTGTGCAGAGTTTTTTGAGATAGGGTGTCAAGAGTTATTTGTCCAGGCTGGCTTTGAACCACAATGCTCTTGATCTCTGCCTCCTGAGTAGCTAGGATTACAGGCATGAGCCACCGGTGCTCCACTTGCATTAATTTTATCTTTAAAAAGTATAGTATAGGACTGTAGCTGTATCTCAAGTGATAGATTACCAGCCTAGCAAGTGCAAAGCCCTGAGTTCAAACCCCAGTACCACCAAAAACAAAAAACCCTGCAGAATTAATACAGAAGCTGGGCAGGTGGTACACACCTATAAACCTAGCTACTTGAAAGCTGAGGCAAGTTTGAGGCCAGTCTGGACAACTTAACAAGACCCGGTTTCAGAATAAAATAAAGGGACTGGA